ATGTTTAATTGGAAAAAAAATAAAATATGTATTTTTTAAAACACAACAGAATACAAACTTCTCCTGATTTCAGATTCCCAGCTCTGCAAAATCAGAGGGTTGGATTGGACCTCTTATGGTCTCTTCCAGCTCTGACATTCTTGTGTATCTCTGCATTATGATGTCAAGTTAAATCAAGTCAACTAGCATTTATTAAGCATCTATTTATGTCTGAAGAACTGTCTAAATGCTGGGAATAGAAAGAAAGGCAAGAAACAGTCCCTGATCTCAAGGAGCTCACAGTCTAATGGGAGAGACAATAGGCAGACAGTGGTGTACAAACGAAATGTGTGTGTGTATATGAAGGAAGTCAGAGAAGATGAAGACGAGATAATAAATGAAGGCTTCCTAGCAGGAGTGAGTGGTGAGCAGGGGCTTTAAAAGGCATGGATTGATGCAGAGGAAGGGAAGCCTTCAAGACACCGCAGAGGCAGACCTCTTGACAGAGAGAGAGGTGATGGACTAGAATTCACTGCATTCTTCTAGTTGAAGAATGAAATATATGTTTTTGGCCATGGATGACGTGTTGATTTGTTTTGCTTGCCGATGTTTATAATTTATTAATGCAGTTCTGGTGGGTATTCCCTTTTCTCTAGGAGTCAGGCTCTATGAATCCAACCTGAAAGTTTGTACAAAATAGTGACCTAATAATGGAAGAAAAATTTGGGGGGTTTTTGTTTGTTTGTTTTTTACCAGAGAGAGGAAGACCTAGTAAAATCCAGTGGGGATCCAGACCTAGGTCTAGACTCTAGGGTTTCAAGGAATTCTGGATAGTGGCAAGATTTTTTTTTAAGTCTGGAAACCAGGAGACTCATAAGTCCTATTTCTAGCTCCTTTATGAAATAAGTCAATGCAGCTGTTCTGACTCAAGGTCCCCAGGTTCAAACTAGGCCAAGATCTCTCCAATAATTCTGTGACCTCTCCCCCAAAGTTAACATTACTCTCCTTCCATGGCTCCCCTACTTGGGCTCTTCACTTTCCAATTCCTATACCCTGTTGGCCCAGACCTGCCATCCCCACCTAGTTCTCTCGGACTTTTCTGTAAAACCAACTTCCCAACCCCTGCCTGCCTCAGGTCACCCACTACATCTAAGCTTAGGTTCCAACCATGATTCCCTTTACTTCCTGCACTTCTCTTCAGCTTCCATGCCACGTAGTAGTCTTTTGCCCCTTTATAGTGTTTGGAACCACAATCGAAGTAACTTGCTCCTGGAATATCGGTATGGAACTCAAGGAAAGGGTATGTCAATCCACTCCCTTATGGCTCCTCTCACCATCCCTCTAACTTTCTAAACCAATATTCCTCCCTGGGCGCCATACCCTCTATGTGTTGTCTCTCCCTATTAGAATGTAAACTCTTTGAGAACAGGGACTGTCATTACTTTTGTATTTATATCCTTGGCCCTGAGCACAGTGCTAGGTGCATAACAGGAACTTAAATACCTTTCATTTAGTTATTCATTCCTTTTTCTAGGAATTCACACTCCTAATAGACTATCTAATGTATCTCTCCTTTATTTCGCCTCACTTTATCATGTACTGTATTCATTTATTCTTGCTTAGGGGTTGTTTTTAAAATGTTCTTCAGTTATGTCATATTTATGTTGCTCTTCTTCAACTATACTATAACCAGAGGTATAACTAGGAATGTTGTATAACCTGAGGTAAATGGGAATTTATTTTTTTTTTACCTGGCAAAAAAATAGTTGAGGGGGTGGGGGAAAGGAGAACCATGCAGACACAGTGGAGGGAAGACAGCAATTGGCCAGGTGGGCAGCTTGTCTTCACACCCCTCCCCTATGCCCTCTGGCCCACAGTCCCACTCCCCTTGTCCTTTCCTGGATCCTGCTTTCTGTCCTCTCTCTTCTCTTCCCTCTCCTCTTTCCCCTCCATACCATGAGGTCTTGAGAATTGTAAAATGTTGGCAACTGAAGGAAAAACCCAGCCCTCTCTTTCTAGTTATGGGTCTAATTGTAATTAGTAATTAATCCTAAAGGCAAGAGGCATTTCTATGAACTAGTGTCCTCTGGTCTTAATTCCTTTGACTATACTTGAATGTGGCTTGTTTAAATATTGAATTTTGTTTAAGTATTTCTTAAAACTGGTAAGCTTAAGGAATTAGAATGCTCTTTGTTGAGTAGACATTTTCCTTGTAATGTTATTTTAATCCCATTTGTATGCCCTACCCTTCAAACCCCGCCCCCACACTGATCTTACCCCAAACTTCTGTATTAAGTATATATGCTGTCTGCTGCTTTGGCCACTGTTAAGTGTGTCTAATCCTCTAAGGTAAAGGGGTTATCTTTTTTCCATTTGTCATTCCAAGATCTAATGCCACCCTGGCCTGCTGACCTTGTCATACAAATGTGGCAGCCAGAACAAGAAAGCCAGTCCACCTACACCCTCTCTAACAATCAAGACATGACCTGATTCTGACAGAAGGCCCAGAGAAACCAGAGTTGATGAAAGTCCATTGTGGCAACTCCTAGGGAAAGCCAGAGGCTATGGGGGGCTCAGGGGTAGGCAGGCAGTTAACAACTCTTGAACATTTGTGAAAAGAATTACATAGGCAGCTGAGAGAGGAAGTCAAATCCAAATGAGGCCCTGGGGCTGCCATTTGGATATGCCTCTGCCATCTAAGGCGGGAAGGCTAACAGCAAAACCAGCAGGAAACCCGACCTGCTCAGCCGCTGAAAGGATGGAGCTGCAGGCAGAAGGAACACAGAAACCGAGAGCAGGGAAGGGAAAGTATGGGATGGAAAACAGAGGAGAGGAAAGGGAAAGGAAAGGATGAGAAACAGAAGAGAGGGAAGGGAAAGGGGAACATCCTTCAGCTTGGAGCTCTCCTACTGACACCTGGAGCATGAAACCCAATCACCCGCCAAAGGCAGGAAAAGCAACTGTGCTTTTAAAAAGGGCCTAGGGAGGAGAGAGGAGCCTCCCTGCAAAAGGGTGTCCAAAGCAATAAAAGGCAGGAAAGGAGGAGGGCCCCGCAGTGGAAGTTGGTCTGGAAGTTATTTAGAAATATGCTCCCTTTCTGCTCAGCTCTTTAACGTGCTTTGCAAGTTCAGGCACCTCATCATTCTCAGGCCCCACTGTTCTCACAATAAAAAAAAAAAAGCAGGAGACACACGAAGCTCTGAGAAGGATAAATGACTCTGGGGGAGGTAGCAGAGAGGCAGGCTGGATGGGCAACCCAGGGGAGCATCAAATAGGATATGAGGCTTTTGTTCAGAGATTTGGGGTTCACATCGGGGTCAAGATCAGAGGCACACACTGAAGGCCTTTTGGGGAGGGGGAGCCAGATGGCAAGAGGAGGTTCATAAAGAGCTGAGTTTATGAGATGGATTTGGAGTAGAACCTGGGATGACACTTCAGTCTTCAGTTCCAAACCTGTGTATCAACCCCTGATCTCTCCAGCTGACAGCTGGCCCAAGTGCTCTGGGAGAGGATATGGGCAGTTCAGGTCAGAGACCAGCATATGGGGCCCTATTAATGACCCTCTCCTTGGAATTAAACTGGGAATGGAAATCAAAACACATTCTCAATGATCTATTTCCAGGCTCATTTTCAGACTATTCATCCTCTCCAATTTCAATGGGGGCTCCCTTCCTCTGCCCCTCACAAAAAACCCCACTGACACATTAGCTGCTATGTCAAATCCTTTTTATACTACCAAAATAAAGTAGAATCTGGTATACAAACCTGACTGGAAATATCTTTTTCTCCCCATTCCCACCTTCACTAACAAACACTTCAATCAAAACAAAGCAATTTAGGGGTTACCTGCTGTTAGGTCATCCATCATTGTTCTTCTTTTGTGCATTAGTAATAGTTTACATTTCTATAGGTTGAGAGCTGGTGGGCACCTGCTTAACTTATGGCTGGGGGTAGCGGTCCCCACAACCAATGATGGTGAGTTGTCTCATCCCCACCCACCTCTAACCGCTCCAGTTCAATAGCTCATCTGCTGACAAACTTCAGCTGACTCCAGGGAAGATTCATTTCAGGTTTGGGATATGCCTGGAACAGAAACACCAAGTTCTTTTTACTTAGTTCAAGACCTCTCCCCCTGCCAGAAAGGAAAAAGACATGCGGCCCAAACCTGCCAGAAAGCTTTGTTCCAATCTCAGGACTCTAGCAAATAACACACACAGTCAAGATAGGGAATTTGGGTGTCATTTATTGTAGGCAGGTTACACAATTTGTTCTCTCCTCACGGCTGTTCCCATTCCCTCCACAACACAAGCCACAACACTGTCCGAAAAGGCAATGTCTCTGAACAGAAGAGCCGGGAACTCAGGACTCACAGCACATTCAGTCAGCGCTGAATGTAACCCCTCAGACTGAGTTCCCTCCTAAGCATTTTAAAAGGGGCTAGGGATGAGGGGGAAGCTTCCCCATCTTATTCCAGGACCCTCGCCCAAAGACCATTCCATCCTTAGAACCCTTTGGGGTACAGGAGGGGGAAATCGTCTCCCTCATACCTCCAGCAGGGCCAGCTCTCTTAGCACCAATCACATACACATCTGCTTCTACTAGCCGCACAGTTAATGATCAGCCTCATGGCAATAGAAGGACCATTTCCTTCCTGAGCCTCCACACCTCCTCTAAACTGTCCATAAACAAAATGCTGGAATGAATGGAGGGCTACCCTCTCTCTTACTATAGTCAATAGCTAACTAAGGCTCTGGCTGCCATCCTTTTCTTATCTTCTCTCGCCAAATGGTGGGAAGCTCTGGTCTACATCAGTTCATTAAAGTTGTCTACTTGCACATCTCTCTGTGCCCTTCTTCCTTTGACCTGTTCCACGTTCCCAGCAGCACCAAGGTTGTACTTCTCCAGAGGGTTGAGAGCAGTGTTACCCCAGCCACTTGTTCAAGACAGACATCAGTTCTTACTTAAAGTAGGGGTGGACAGGACAGATGTAAAGAATGAAAGAGCTTAATCTCATGGAGAAATTCAAGATCCCAAAATGTCTTTAATTTTATTTCCTTTGTTTAAGCCAAATCATTAAATCTCACAGTGATTCTGGGTGGGGGGATAGGGAAAAGGCTATGGATTGGATCATGGCTGAGTGGGGTAGGATCGGTGGTGCCGCAGGCCTCACTGGGGAAGCTGGAGGAGCACCGACTGTCCAGCGGGCAGGTAGGTGATGTTCCGAGAGCGGGAAAGCTGGAATGCGATGTCCTCTGCGGCTTCCAGCTTACGAAGCTCTATTAGGCCATCTCCTGCGGTGGCCAGTGAATTGGCAATCAGCTCGGCCGCTTTGGAGTCACCCTCTGCTGAGATGATGGCTGCTTTCTTCTGTTGCTCAGCCTAAAAGAATTGGGGAAAGAACCCACAATAATGAGGAAACTAACAACCAATGAATGAAACTAACAAGTTAATGAATGCTATGGAAAAATTCTACTTTTACTGGCACTTGCTGCCAGAGGGGCTCAGCGCTCCAAGTGTTTATTTCAACTCTTCTTCCCTCAAGAGCCCAAGCCATCTAGAAGTTTTCTTGTCTCCATTCAGTTCATTTTTCAACACAACTCAACCCTTTTCCTTCCTCCATTCCCTGCATATAGCCATTTATCGTCGTGATAGATTCCTGCTGGCTCCATCTTATTTCCCTGACAGCCAACATCTCCTGTTCTGAGCCAGATAAAGCCAGAGACAAGGAGAGCATAAGAAAGAATAGACATAGGGAGTTCAAGGGTCAGTCTAACCCCTAACTCTCAATCCCCAAATAAAGCACAATGCCCATCACATCCAGCACTTTCAAGAAAGGAATTTGGCTTTTATATCTCTCTATAGATAGATGCTTAACGGCTACTAGTGGAACTCTCTGGTGTCACACAAGTTTATTTTGAGGACTCAAATCCCTGCCCACATATCCTGAGTCCAATTAAGTCCTAGATGGAGTATCTTTTGGTTCTTTCCCTACTAATGTCAATACAAATATAGCCCTACAATAATTATAAAAGCAAAATGAAGAGAAGACAACGAACTGTACCTTAGGGGAACTTAAAGGAGGGATAACTATAAGCATCTATGCTATGGTACCAATTCTACACAGAAATATTTTTAAAAAGGGATTAAGAAAATACTAGGCTAATGATGACATATTAAACCATTTAGAGTTTCATTTAGTTCTGTGGTATAGGAGAGATGGGTTAGGTTTAGAGATGAAATCTAACTATTTTAGATAGCAGAATGGGGGTCCTTGAGAAAATCCAGTTGAACTCACAGAAATAACTCAACATTGGGCCCTGTTTTCTTTCTCTCTGCTCTGAGCCTTTCCTGAGAGAAATTCAGTTAAAGTGGGGAGGAAGTGAAGTGTACCACAAGATATTATTGGGTTCAACTGGCTTCATCCATTAAGTCCTTTCTCCTACAGGATGTCCACAGAAGACTATATTACTGTGGTTCAAAGGGGTTTCTCAGAGAAGCTGAAAATATTCTGGGAGAAACATTTTTATTCATAGTAGGGATATTTTTTATTTTAAGGATGATCTTTCTTTTTCCATAAGTGACTTAAGACTGTAAATTCAAATGCCCCTACCATTCCTAGAGGACTATGGGATGGAATTGAGTCCTGTTTCTTCATTCTCCCTCTTCCCCAAAATTGTCCCAGAAGAACATATGACAGAAGACAGATCTTCAGGCCACCCAGCAAGCAGAGGAAAGAATGAAGGAGAAAGGGACAAGAAAGAGAGGTTTCCGCCATATGGTTGAGCACTCACCTTTTCCACTACAAATCTGGCCCTCTCTGCTTCCTGCTGAGCCACCTGTTTGGCTTCTACTGCCTCCGTGAACTCCTTCCCAAAGGTCAGATGTGTCTGAGGGGAGAAAGGGAGCACAAGATGAGGAAGCATAATTGCTCACACAGCTTGGTCATGAGGCCCCCACAGCCTCAGGGAGGAAGAGAAGTCAGGAATGGTTCCAGCAGCTGGAGGAGGCAGTGAGGCCACAAACTTCCCTCCCTCCCCTGTTCTCTGATCCAAACAGTTTTCACTAAAGGTTCCATGGTAATCCAGAAATATCCAACTTTGTACGGTTCGGTCACACCCAATATAGCAATTTCACACGGAAAATGACAGCTGGAGCCTTTCACAATAGCTTATGAGCACTAGAAGAAACTGGCTCTAAACTTCCTTAGGGAGCTTACAGAATTCAGGCCCCCCACCTCTAGCTAGTTTTCTCCCAGGGTCCTTTGATTTCCTCCGCTTAAAGCTCCAAAGATGGTCAGATGGAAAAATGGAGTCTCAGATAGGTGAGGATTTGGCCAGCTCAATGCCCCAGGAGTCCAATGCACCATCCCTATGGATTATCCAGTCCCACAGACTTCTCCAAATCTTGGGGCCAATTCACTTCTCAGTAGCACCTCCACTACAGGATGGGAAAAGGAAGAGCTCAAATTAGGGCCCTTCTGGTAAAAGGTTTAAAGAAGAGGAAGGCAGGTAAAAACACTTCTCTGAATAAGGGTTCCAAATTCTCATTATCTATAGCCCTGTTCCCCAAATATATGGGTAACTGAAATCAGCTGGCTGGTCAAATGTATCCTACCAAATCATAAGAACGGTGGGATCAGATCACAGGACTGCTACTGGAGGCCGGTCAGAGAGCAATGGATGTGTTTACCTTCTTTATTTTTTAAATCAAGGAAGTTAAAGTATTGATTTTTCTATCTGATGTTGGTTGCCTGCCTGTACTCTCCCTAACACAAAAGACCAAGGCCCCTCTTCCAAATAACAGCTCAGCATTACAACCTGGGTCCTACTTTGTAGTCCAATCCTAATCATTCCCCCTCCAGAACTGCAGCTGTCTGACTGCTGGCTTAGCCTCTAATCTTTCTTAGTTAGTTTTGGGGAGGAAGGGCACACAAGCAGTACTGAGATATGAGCTACTACAAAAATGAAAGGCCTTGGGTGCAAATGAAGTAGAATTAGATTTCACTATAAAGGGGCTAGTTGAGGGTAACATTTTTCCCACAAAACCATCTCAAGCTTCTAAGATAAAGTTTCTCATGGGCAGCCCACATTTTCCCAGAGTATAATAGGTAGTTGAAACTTAACAAAACACCAGCTCCTTGGCTCCTTACTTAGTGCATTCTCACACTCACTGTGTTGAACTTTAGGACATTTTGTGCCATTTGCCAAAAGGCTGCAAACCCACAATTCACCAACAGAGGGAGCCCAGAGTCCTCTTTCGCATCTATTCCAAGGTGTGGCTGCTACCTCTTTGGATTTTTAGGGGGATTGAATGAGGTGGGTGTTGGGGAAGACAGGGTGACTGTTTGAACAGCTGCGTGTGCTTGGGGGGAAATGGTGCCTTTGCTAGCAATGTGCTGTAGAATGGAACAGGAAATACTCTCCCTCACCACCCTCCTGGACAAATTGCTCCAAATGACTTTTCCCAGGGTGTCCAGAAACAAGAACCCTTTTCCTCACCCTTCCTGATCTGAAATGCTATCCCACCTGTACTGTTTTTCGTCTGGGCTATGACATTCAGTGCCATATAAATGCACAGACTATAACATCTCAAGAGAATGGCTTATGCCTTGGAGATGTCCCTTGCCCCTCATATCAGACTTTGGGGAAACAAACCAGTTATTTACACTGTATCAGCTTTCATCTGGGGCTTTCTGGAGCTCAACTGACAAGAGTGTCAGACCAGAGGTGTTATGGAATTCCCAGGGCCAGTCAGGGAGGTCTAAGCTGGGCAGAAATTGCTAGAGCTCGCCCAGGTTTTCCCCCCTTACTCTAGTTAGTTTTTCCCATGTCAAACAGGGTTAATGAGACTTCACTTCCTGGGGGGTTGTGAGGACAGCTCACATTTCTACAAGGGTAAGAGATTCAATGGCAAGGGGGAGTCTGGGGAGGGCCAGGGGTTATAAGAAAAATGTGCATGGCAGAGGGCAGCCTTATAAGTTGTCAGACTTGTGCAGAGATGACTAAAGCTTATACTACCCCCAAGAAGACCGCTTCATATTGACAAGAAGCCTCAGCACTCTCAAGTCTAACACAAGTCTCGGTCATTGGCCTCAATATATGGCTGGGAAGTTAGCAAGACAGGAACTGCTAATATCTATAGGGACAGTCAAGTACAAAATCAAGGGCTGCAGACTTAACTCATTTGTCCCTAAGAATCTTACCAAAGAAACATCATCCAGGATGAGCCCAAAGGTTGCTGCTCGCTCTGTGAGGTCATCACTTACTTGCCTGGAGACTAGTTCTCTCTGGGTGATCAATTCTCCAGCATCAAATCGAGCCTGGCTCAAAAGAAGATTGGAAGACAGGAGAGCAGTGAGGAAGCAGGAAAACAAACAAACAAACCAAGACACCACACCCAGATCCTAACTAACCAAAAGCTAAATTTCTTTGCCTCCTGCAATACATAAGGTGTCTGGTTCCAGCCCACGTGCTGTCCGATTACTTACTACCACTGACTTGAGGATCTCAGTGGTTATGGACGGCAACACCCGCTCGTCGTAGTCCTCACCAATGCTGGTAAAGATTCGGGGCAGCTGATTGGCAACAGGTCGGAAGAGAATACGAAGAGTGATATTGACATTCTGTAAATCTGCACCCAAGGAAGAAAAAAGGTGACATGACAAGTTGGGTTTGGGAGCCACAGAAATCTTACATGACCAACTTCCCACCCCAAACTTGTCCCAAGTAAGAAAAGAAGCCAATTTGCTAGGCTGTTTTCGTGTCAGGAAACTACCCTGAAGCACTCGATCCTGTTGACCACCCTCTCCTCCCAGATTCTCTCTCCTTTCTAAGGTTTTCATGACACTGTCTTCTCTTGGTTCTTCTACCTGCTGGGTCACTCCTTTCTAGTATCTTGTCCCAGATCATCTTGAAAGTCGCATCCTCAGCTGTAGATGCACCTCATGATTTTGTCCTGGGTCTTGTCTAGACCTTTTCTCTCAGTGATCTCATCATCTCTGTACATGACTCCCAGATCTACATATTTAGTCCTAGTCTCTCTTGAGTTCTACATCACCAGTGGATAGGCAGGAACAAGGCTTCCCACTTCTCTTATGGCACAATGGGACCGACTAGTCTACAGGGGTTTCTTGCCTCAGCCTGGGGTGCTGCTCCTAATCCTCCACCAAAAGAGTTAAACACACACACACACAGAGCATGTTTTCTTTGGGGACCAGTTTACTGGACTTTCATAATTGGAAGTCCCATAGGCATGTCAAACTCGTGCCTAAAACAGAATTCATTTTCTCCCCCACCCTCCCCCAACTCATCTGTCTTCATAACTTTCACTATTCTTCCAGGCATACAGGTTTGGAACCTAGGAATCATTCTTGAATTTTCCCTCTCCCTCATTCCACTTATCTTTTCAATTGCCAGTCCTTGTTGATTCCATGTTCACAATAGCTCTTATACCTGTCCCCTTCCTCCACTCATAGAGCCACTGTCCTAGCTCAGGCTCTTATCACTTCTTGCCTGGACTATTCTGATAATTTCTTAATTGGTCTCCTTGCCTCAGGATTCTCGTCTCTTCACTTCATTCTCCACACAGCTTCCAAACTGATATTCCTAAAGCCCAGGTCTGACTATGTCATTCCTTATTCAAAACTCTACAGTCCCTACTTCCCCAAGAATAAAACTTCTGGAGGGCATTTAAATTTAAAGCTTTTCTGGCTCCAGTCTACTTCTCTAGGCTTATTACACATTACTCCACTCATGCCCTCTATGTTTCAGCCAAAATGGCCTTTCTGTTCCTTGTATACAACTTTCTACCTTTTGTCTCCATGCCTCTGCAGCCTGTCCTCCATTCCTGGGATAAATGCCCTCTCACTTCTACCTTTGAGAAATCTGAGATCCCTTTAAAGTCTAATTCAAGGCTTCCTGCATCTGTTGTTCATGCGCTCTGTGTGTGTGTGTGTGTGAGAGAGAGAGAGACTACTGAGGTAAAGTGACTTGCCCAAGGTCACACAGGTAGTAAGCAGAAGAGTAAAGATTTGAATTCTGGTTCTTTAAATCCAAATCCAATATTTTTTTCATTGTGTGCGAGTGTGTGTACACACAAACATGCTCACAGAACCTAACAGGCCACCTACCACATGCAGTCAGGCAATTAAAAGTTTCCCAAGAAGGATGGATAACTTTTCATTTATCCTAAACCTCCCTTGATTATTAGCAATTAAGACTGAATACTCGAAGATGCTAAGTGACAAAGAGAATCAGTCAATAAGACTACTATGTGTTAGGTACTGAGAAGAAGCCCAATATGCCAAGTGAGGAGACAGATGAATGATGTCATAACTTGAAGCACAGATAGGCCTTCAGAACCCTGGGAGTACAACCCACTTTTCCCCAAGGCCAGAATTAACTTCCTCACACACATTCCATTTGTCATTACTTTAGAGAAGTTACAATAACAAATAGCATTTTACATTTATATGGTGCTTTTGAGATTGCAAATTACTTTCCATATATATTCTAGGTTAGCCTTCAGGACATCTCTGAAAGGAGGCAAGATACCATTCCCACTTTATAGATGGGAAAACTGAGGAAGACAGGTTACCTGACTGCATACAGTTATTAAGTGGAAGAACTGAGACTCAAACCTAAGTCTTATTCCAAGTGTGGTACTTTTCCTACAACACTGTTTCCTATAGTACGATGATGGACATTCACTTTTGTTTGAAAGTAAATCTTTCAGCAATGTGTTGGTATTTATCAAGCCACCCCTCTCCAATGCTGTTAAAGCTACAGACTGTCCTCACTATCTGGCAGTCCTATATCCCACCCTGATATATTGTGGGTAGAGAGAGGTGATTCTGAAGAAACAGGAAAACCAAAACCAATCTCTGTCTTCAAGGACTTTCCCAAGAGAACACATATGAGAAGCCACCTAAGAACAAAGAGGCACAGACTTAAATGCATATAAGGTGGGGAGTTCAGAGTTAGGTTTTCCAGTTCAAATTCCAATGAGCTCACCCCAGCCAACCTTTCATCTCCTTTCTTGGCATCAGATAAATGGACACCCAACAGAAGTGCCTCCTTGCTGCCGGGCCAAGCTTTACTAAGTAGTTTAAAAAACATCCAATCATCCAAGGTGGATCAAAAAGACCACTAGGCTGTTTTATTTATCAGCTTCAATATGGTAAAGCAATAACTACAATACTGTTATTCTCATACAACGATAGTATTAGTGATGAACCCCCAGTAAGGCATGAATTAGGTGGGAGAGTGAGGAGGGGAAAGGGGAAGGAGAACACGGCATGGGCAGAAGTATTACATTTTTAGACTTCATATGTATACAAACATTCAACTATATTTATATTCACATATTAGATATAGTTTGTTACCATGCCCATACCAAAAAGCCATTCTAGGTTTGAAAGGCCTGTCAAAGGTCTATGCTCCATATAGTGTTCAAAAATCCAAAGTTACTCTTATCTTCACAACACAATTAGGGACTGGAATAGAACTTCAGCGAAGGATGTGCATGTGTGTGTATGTTTATACATGTGCATGCATGCATACACACACATATACATCCTGTGTCTCTTAGCTTTGTATGTCATAGCTTATCTTCCCCTCATCCCCCAATTATACTGTAGTAGAAACTCACAGAAAAAAGAAATACATGTTTTCCTCAATTACCTTGGGGGCTTCTATTGTATGGGGACTGGTTTCCTCCTCCCTCTGGATTTTGCTAATACCTAGCACTGATTGAGTCATTTTTCAGTTGTGTCTGACTCTTTGTGACCCCATTTGGAGTTTTTTTTTTGACAAAGATACTGGAGTGGTTTGCCATTTCCTTCTCTATCTCACTTTACAGATGAGAAAACTGAGGCAAACAGGGTTAAGTGACTTGTCCAGGGTGTGTGTCTATTCACTACACCACTCGGCTAACTCCATCTAGCACAGCAAATGCTAAACATATTTTGGGATCAACTGACCATCCAAAGCTACCTTTCCATAGTGACCCATAAGGAATACTCACCCTTACTACCGGTGATTACTGGGACATTCCGTGGCCGGGAACGGCAGTCAAAAATAATTGGTTTCTGTACCCACGGGATGAGAAAATGAGTCCCTTCCCCTACAACAATGTCTTGGACTCCACGGAACCTATCAAAGATGACAGCTCTGTGGCCAGCATCCACTAGAAAGGAGGAAGGAAAAGAACAAGTCAGGAAACTGAACTTACTGATAAACTCTTTCACACATGGGATAGGATGACTTGGTGCTTTAAGTCCATTTAGTAAGACTTCATCCTTTTGGTTCCTCTTCCTGAACTTCTATATCCCTAAAGGATTCTAAAGCGTCACATAAGCAAGTAATCATTTCCTATCCCATGTGCTTCCCCAAGGACTTAGGTAATAGCATCTGTTCCCTACCATCGGTTCTCCTTGGAAGATGAAATCGCTGATTTTATGATTAACCACCTTCTCCCTTGAGCATATTTCCAGGAACAGACAATCCACATTTACAAAAAAAAAGTCTCCATCTGGGTCATCACACTGGGGTCACATACCACACTTTCAACTTAACTGAATGCTTTTCAGGTGCAGCATCAGTTAGAGCAGCACTCTAGATGGAAGTCTGACATTTAGAACTTCCACTTCTAATTCTCTGATGCCTTTTTCTCAAAGCTTTATTGGGAGGGTAACATATCCTATGCAACATATACTAAGTCAAAGATCATGTCTAGCGAGGATTGCCATCTATGTGTATAGATGTGGCTATTGGACAAGAGAAACTGTCCCAGGAACCTGCCATACAGGTGTTTGCATCTCTACTCATTGTTGCCATGAAGGAGAACTTTCCTCATTCCTATAGCAGCATGACCAGAAGGCTGCCTTTCTGCTACTTCCTGACTGTGCACTTAGGATGTGCTATTTTAGCCCTATATAAGCAGTTATGGGATCTGATAGGCTCCCCAAAACTACATAGGACACCTATGAAGACATTCCACACAAGGTAGAAGGGAGGTAACATCTCTGTTAGTTATCTGATCCTGAAGAGCATGATTTTAACAATTCAGCAACATCAAAGGCAGGGACACTTGTAAACAAGGGGTGGGAAGAACAAAAGTCTAAAAAGTTGTCCAAGGTCTTTTTAAACAGCAACAAACCCAACATGATAGTGGGTATACACAGCATGGAAGGACCAGTCTTATTAGACAACCACTTTCATAGATAGTGATCACTACCAGGAGTGTTACACTGGACAATAGGAACCCTTAGTAGGAGTCAGGAAACTGCTGTTCCTCAGTGCCTCACCATTATATAAGGCAGAGTTGACAACTCCTCCTACAACAGCTAAGCCCAGGCCAAACTTGCCAACAGATTCAAACAGTTTAGCAGCCATGTCTTCTTCAGATGGTCTTGGCCTTCTGCCTCTCAGACCTAAAGGGAGAAAACAAAAGACTAGCCTGGCCCATACATTCCCAAGCAATGAGTTCATTTTCTAATCAGGATAAGATTTCTACTTTCATGAGGGTTCTGCCTGACTTTAGCCCAGCAGGTTAATACCCCAAGACAGGTTTAAGAATTCAGTAAGTTACAGCTCCCCTGTGTTCATCTTCAGTTACAAACACTTGATGATGGGTAGGGGCTGGAAGTGGCTGGGAAAAGTAGTTCATTAGGTAGGGCATGGTAAGCCTAAGGCCAAAGTCATGGGCCGGATCTCCAGCACCATTTAACTTCACACTGTTAAAGCTCCTTCCCCCTTGACAAAACAAAAACAGATTCTAGTTGTCACAGTAGGGATGAGGTAAGAGGATGGGGAGTTCATCAAAAGCCATTCCAATTTTAAAAAAAGAAAATCAATGTGCAATGCAATACTGATTGTAGGCCTACTAACACCTTTTTCCTCTATGTTATCAGGTCATGTTATCAGAGGAAGGAAAGACTGGGAAGAAAAGTCCTCTGGATGGATGGCAGCATGACAGTAGAGCATGGGGAAGGAGTGTTAAGGAGGGATAGTCTTGGAAAGCTAAGAAAGTTTCTCAGAGATCAGAAGAAATTAGATTAGAAACCAGAAATCTCACTTAACTGTAGAGATGGTCTCATTTTTTCCTCCCCTCAATCCCATATTATTCTCCAATACACCACATGTTAAGAGAACAGGTTTTCTAACTATAGGGACTGGACCTATAACTTCACTGTAATAAACAAGGGGTCTTTTTTGTATCATGGACCCTTTAGGAAATCTGGTAAAGCCCATGGATCTTGCCTCAGAATGTTCACTGCCTACATTCATTAATAGATGGAAATGCTAAATTTCAGTTTGAGACTAGTGAAAATAAAGATGCAATTTTTTTTTCTTATCCAAGTTCATAGACCCTCTGAAAACTATCCTTGCACCTCAAGTTTAAGAACCCCTGGTATGGTGTGAGAAAACTTCTAGCACTGCAGGTTGGCACCTTCTCTGCAACTTATGGTCTTAGAGTTGCCTGGAGCACTGGGAAGTTAGGTGACTGGCCCAGGGTCACAAGCCAGCATGTATCAGAGAAAGAATTTAAAGATAATCTTCCTGGCTTTGAGGCCTTTCTATCCATTCTGCTTCTGCATAGCTAAGAAACACCTCAAAGACCAAATAGTTCAAACTCCTCATTTACACATAAGGAAAATGACAACCAAAGCAAGCCATGCCTAGATTTTCTGATTTAGAATTCAAATCTTTTTCACTAACACCAGGCTACTAACTCTCAAACTCTGCCTCTTAGGAGTCTACTTCCACTCCCATACCTCTACCATTTCCTTCCTTCCATCTCTCCCATTATCACACTAAGCTTGGCCTTTCCCCTCCATTTCTCCTTTCCCTCAGGCTTCCCCCACCCTTCCCTCCTGCAGTCTTCCCCCTCCATTCTTTCCCTCTCTCAGCGTTCCCCTCCATTCTTTCCCTTTCTCAGCGTTCCCCTCCACTCCTCCTCTCCCTCAGCCTCCCCCTCCATTCCTCTTCTCCCTCAGCCTCCTCCTCCATTCTTTCTCTTTCCCTCCCCCCTCCACTCCTCCTCTGCCTCAGCCTCCCCCTCCATTCTCTCCCTCAGCCTCCTCACACTTTCTCTCATTCTGGCTCTCAGCCCCTCTACTTCCCTCCCCTTCTTCAACTACCCCCTCCTTTCTTCGAGCTCCCTCCCCTCAGTATCCCACGGGAGCACGCGGGAAGGGGGGCGCGGCGCGGCAGTCACCAAAGGCCCAAACCCTTAGCTCACCAGACACAACTCTGACCTCCACATGAATTCCCCAACCCTACTTACTGCGCCTGCGTAGAGTCCCTCCTTCCCTTCACCGCCCCCTCTTGAAGGACCTTTCTTCCTGTTGGTTGACAGGGACGTGGCGCCTTCTGGGATTGGTGGTTCAAGAGTGGGTCCTGAGCTCCTACTTTTTTAATAAGAGGGAACTACAATTCCCGGTATGCTTCGCTGCCTTTTAACTTGTGAAGAAAGTCCTTTCCCATTGGTTTGGACTGGTACGAAGTTAGCCCCCCCCAAAGGCTGCTGGGGTTGTATTTCACCTGGGATGAGTACACGTGCGGCCGGAAGCGTCTACTATGCCCTTGCATGTGGGGAGGTAACCTCAGGGCTTTTTCGGGCTAGTGGTTGAGGGAATGGGGCTGGTGACATAGAAAACGACTCAATGAAGGCATGACTTAGGGGACTAAGAAGGAGAAAGGGCACTGAGTGCTCACTGCTTAGTCTTGGCAATGACTTCTTTGCTCTCCTCTTTTTCCACATGTCGTATTGCTACACGTGAAAAGACCAAAATCTCTTTGGGTATGCTTAGGTCCGAGATTGACAGGTGGAACCCCTTCGTTGTATAGATAGGAAAACTGAGGCACAGAAAAGTTGAAGTGACTCTCCCAGAGTCACAGTGGGGATTCCAAAGCAGGGTTGCAGAACTCCTTAAGCCTCCACCTCAAGTTATAGACCTTAATGCAGTCACTGTCACTTGTATGAGAATCTGATGCTCCCACTGAATCCAATTCTGCAAATGTTTATGATATGTGCAAAGCATTGTACTAGGCCTTTAGCTACCAAAATAGCTAAGACACTGATCCTGCCACCCCCCAGACTTGTAGAGAGAGTATACAAATATAAAAATAGCTATCATGCAAATAGAAAATAAAAATATAAAATAGCTATGATTCAAGTTTTAACATGATAAATACATAGCAGAGTTTTAAACAGGATAATGTGAAAAAGCCTGGAAGGGAGAAATTACTTCCAATTGGGGTGATCAAGGAAAATATTTATGGAGGTCATAAATCGAAGCTGGGCCTTGAAGGAAGAGAAGGATTTAAAAGGAAGAGATTTGACTCTATTTTAGTTCAACATCCGTTTATTTATTAAGACTTACTATTTGAAGGGCACTGTGTTGGATGGTAAGGATTTAGGGATCAAAAAAGGTGAGACCCTGCAGGGCCTCATGGATATAGGGGAAGACCATTAGGGGTAAAGAGCAAACTTGTTCAAAGGTGGGAAAAGTTAGAGATTGGAGAATGGTGAGAAGGTGTACTCTGAGTTGTTTCTCCCATAATGAGTACAGGTTTGGGCTGAGCCATTAATAGTCTTCCCCCAAATCCCTTTAGAGGCAGCTGGTGGTATAGTTGACAGAGTACTGGGCCTGGAGTCAGGAATGGCTGAATTCAAATGAGACCTCAGACACTTAACTAGCTGAGTGACCCTGGGCAAGTCACTTAACCTCTGCCTACCTCACTTTCCTCAACTGTAAAATAGGGATAATAATAACACCTACCTTCCAGGGTTGTTGTGAAGTTCAAATGTTTGGGTTTTCTTTTTTCACTTTGTATAGTATTTAATTTTTTTCCCCTGGTTACATGTCAGGAAAATTTTTAGCATTCATTTTTACAAGATTTTGAGTTCCAAATTTTTCTCCCTCCCTTCCCACCCTTCTTCTGAAAATGGTAGGCAGCTTGAAATAGTTTATACATGTGCTGTTGTGTAAAAATATGTCCATATTAGTCACAGTTGTGAAAGAAGAAACAGATCAAAAGGAAAAAAGAAACATGAGAAAGAATAAATTAAGTGAAAAAAATATTCTTTGATCAGCATTCAGAATCCATCAGTTCTTTATCTGGATGTGGATAGCATTTTCTTTCATGAGTCCTTTGTACTTGTCTTGAATCATTGTGTTGCTGAGAAGAGCTGAGTCATTCATAGTTGATCATCACACAATGCTGCTGATACAATGTACAATGTTTTCCTGGTTCTGCTCATTTCACTTTGCATCAGTTCGTACAGGTCTTTCCAGGTTTTTCTGAAATCTACCTGTTCATCATTTGGTTCAAATATTTCTAAAGTGTTTAAAACAATGCCTGGCACATAGTCGCCTCTTAATAAATGTTTGTTTCTTTCCTATTCTCTATGACATGCATTATTAATGAGCCTGGGTAGACAGTTGCTAATTAAAAAGCACTGAAATTCAGGAATCTTGAATATTGGTTTTGCTAGAACTTTGCTTCCTAATTCTTTTTATTTCTGACTTTTTGTTATTTACTTCCATATTGCCAAGATCATTCACTTGGAAGTGGGGACAGGAGTGCAGTCCAAGGGTGTTATAAAGGTTGTAGCAGAGATTTGAGGAAGTCCTAGGCTCCTGGGGATTGTATAGGCATAAGATTATCCTCTGAGGATGATTTAGTCCAACACTCTTATTTTCTGTTGAGGAAACTAGCAAAGTAGGCATTTTAAAGAGTGTTTAATTGACTATAGTAATAAAGAAATATTATGATGGAAAAGACTGTGGCCTGGGATTCAGGAAAGGAGAAGTCATTTATTTAGTAAGCATCTACTCAGCACTGTGCTAGAGACTGGAATTCAAATACAAAAATGAGACAGTTCCAGTTTACGTTCTAATGAGGGGAGTGTAGCATTCACATAAACAAATCTGGGATTTATTTATTTTTAATGCAGTGATTTTGAGAATGGGAGCAATAATGTCATAAAAGTAGTCAGGTTCTTTGAGAGGCAGTATGGCAGTATGGATAGAATGAATGAATGAAAAGCACTGATTAAGGGCCTTTTGTTGAGTCATTTCAGCTATGTCCAACTCTTCATGACCCTATTTGGGATTTTCTTGGCAAAGATATTGGAATGGTCTGCCATTTCCTTCTCTGGCTAATTTTACAGATGAGGAAACTGAGGCAAACAGGGTTGAATGACTTGCTCAAGGTCACACAGCTATTAAGTGTCTGAGGCCAGATTTAAACTCAGAAATATGAATCTTCCTGCCTCAGGCCCAGTATGCTACTGCACCTTGCTTGGGTATTGGGGAGAAAATGCTTTGCAAACCTTAGTCTGAAGAAATGGAGTTGTAGTATTCTTTGTTCATCTACATAAAGACTTTAAAAGTCATTCCAGGGTTGGCCTGAAACCTAACTGTGCTTTATCATCTTGTTTCTATACAAAAGCATAGAATGTGAGCTCCTTAAGAAGGAAGTTTGTAAGATAAATTAAGATAGACGAGTTAGTAAAAACAAGTTGTTCAAGCAAGATAAAGGCTAAGTAAGTTAAGGGCTAACTGGCTATCTACAAATGAGGGAAAAAGAGTCACGAGTCACGGCTTGGGAGCTGAAGACTGCACCAAGAAGTTGCCACAAGTTGGTTTCCAGGGGAACTCCTAACAAGCATATCAAAGAGCTGAGGATTTTAGTTCCAGTAGGTATGGAGAGCAGGGGTGGATTTTGTAATGTGTTGTGTTTATTTCCCAGAAGGCCAAATGACTGCTGTCTCTGCTAAAAGTACAGGCTGGTCTCCTCCTAGATAAGAAGGTCAAGGGACTCTGAGAATGTTTCTTCTCTCTACAGACAACCAGGGAGGATAAAGTGTTTGAAACACATGGAAAAAACCCACAGTTCAGAAGACTTTCAGTGTGAAAGCACAAATGAAGGATTTGAATATTTAGAAATGAATTCTGACCAATGTCAGGAGGTTGAAGGATAATAATAAAAAAAAATAATGATAAGATAGAGGAGAAAGGGAAGAAGAAGGATCACCACGGCACAGTCTTGAGACTCTTCCTGGAGGGGAGGGAGTTGCTTGCCATTCCAAGGAATGATATTGTGGATGAGGTCAATTGAGAGATCATCCAGTAAAACAGTCAGAGGATGAAGAAGTGAGGAGTGCTGACTGGTGCCTCGCCACTCAGGGGGACTGACTGAGGCAGCTGTTCATTAAACTTTAATGACAGCAGAGAAGTCTGCCCTCTTCCCTGGGTGTGTACTGAAGACAGGACAGAGAACTTTCCCAAAACATGTTACTACCCACTTTTGGTGACTCATATGGGTACCAATAACAGCAGCAGCAATGAAAACAATAATAGCAGCTAACATTTATAAAGTGCTTACTGTGTGTCAGGCACTATACTAGTGCTTTATAATTATTATTTCATTTGATCCTCACAACAGCTCTGGGAGGTAGGTGCTACTATTATCCCCATTTTACAGATGAGGAAACTGAGGCAAACCAGGGTTAAGTGACTTGCCCAGGGTCACACAGCTAGTAAGTGTCAAGTATCTGAGGCCAAATTTGAATTCAGGTCCTCCTGAATCCAGGGCTGATGCTCTATCCACCACTCCACCTAGCTGCCCCCAAAGTAATATTATTAAAGGAATCTGGAAAGCATTGTTTTTGTAGTTTGGGGTAAGAGATTGAAGACCTTAGGAGCATAGGTAGCATTTTCATCCATGCTACCAATTGAAGGCAAGGATTTCACAAGAGAAGGTAGATTTGGCAGTTGAACAGTGGGTAAAGACAATAGTGTCTGAAAATAGGGTTTTGGATTTTATGGACAGTGGTTTAAAATACAGGTTCCTGGCCACAGATGGAGTTCATCTGACCAGGACTGGTAAGAATGTATCTTTCTGCAAGGGGCGGAGCCAAGATGGCAGAGTAAAGAGGTCTTCCAAATTCCCCTCCAAGCAACTTCAGAATAATACCTCGAAACGAATTCTGGAGCAGCAGAACCATCGCAAAGATGGGGTGAAACAGCTTTCCAGCCTAAGGTAGCTTAGAAGGTCTGGAAAGGTCCATTTCACTGGGTAGAAAGAGGAGTGCAGTCCGATATGGGCTGCATCCCGGCAAGCCAGCCGCAGGCTGTGGGGACAGCTGAACTGGCAGCAGCTTCTGGAGCTCTCAGCCCACAGACAGTAAGAGGTTGGACAACTGGTCAGAATGAGATTACAGGGGCCTCTTTACTGGTATTGAGAGCAGGACTCTGTTGCATTGCCCATACTCAGTTCCC